ATTCCGTAATATACTGTGATAGCAAAACGCTGAAAATACAACCATAAATTAGTGTTGTTAAAATAAAAAAAATAAAAATAAATAAAAAGAAGACGATAATAATTCGACTAAGCGTTACGTACATCAGGATCAACTATGTCAAAATTAATTCATTTGTCGAGCAGTGATCCTGCTGTAAATCACGTCAATGAATTAAATTCCAAACCAGAAGAAATGTTTTCTTAAGCCATTATAAGATATACACATAAATTTGAATCACAATCGTACCGATCAAATATATTAATTAATGCGTTATTTTTTTTTATCTTTTTATTGATTATTAGATTTTAGAGTAGGTACTCTAAGTTACGTTATTAGAATTCGATTCAATATTCTTGTCAACGTCTTTATTTTTAGATTGATTTTGAAACATAAAATCTAAAGACTTGCATTTAGATGCATCAACGCTAAGCAATTTATTTTTTTCTTATCTTAATTTTTCAGCATTTCCTTTATGTTTTCTTTTTATATTTTCCATTTTTAATAGATACTTAGAAACACACAACAGAACTTTTAAAGTTAAAAAACGTTCAACTAAGCACGAATCGAATAAACATGCGATCACGGACAGTCACATTGGATATTTAAATTCCATAAGTAGTGCGCAGACGTCAAAATTTTAACGGAAAATATTAAGTTCCACAGGACATCGGTAAGATAACGATCACAATTCCGACAACTATTTTCATTTTATTATTTTGTATTTTCATTCATGTTTGTACACACAATTCACCAGATGGGATGTAATTAAACCGAAAATATTACATAATTTTACATTGGTTATTGATTATTTTTCATTTAATTTTGACGGCAACAACGACCACTGGCCACATTAATCACCGGGCCACCGGAAAATTTCACCGGTTAAAACTGTTGACCACCTAACTCGTAGTCAGAATGCATTTTCTAAAAATGCATTCGTCAAATGGTTTTTTTTTTTTTTTGTTCAATGCGTTTTAGATACCGTTTAAAATTGCCGCCCTGGGCTGCAGTACGCAAATGTATAGCGCGTGAAGGGTGGAAGGGATCATCGTGATTGAACCGATGGGCCACGTCGCCACCGCATTAGTCGGCCTCACCCTCGTACCGCGCCGCCAGATATGCATCTCGTCGTCAAAATGTTAATCTGCATACGGTAATAAAAACAATGAACAGGGAATGATAAGCTATAACGTACCCGTCCGAATACGCGGATAAGTTTGTCGACGTTGTGTTCGCAACCCTGAGCAGTGTCACGGTCGTCAGCCATCGAGACGGCAGTCGGCGATTCTGTACGCGCGTGAAAACCAAACTATTAATCGTTATTTTTGACGATAAAGCTCGTTTCAACAGCTGCACGAACGTACAATTTTTTTATAATTATCTTACCGAGTAAACAACGTACCGAGTGTTGTACCCGTATCACGGCTCGGACATCATTACCCTTACCTGGGTTCGTCAAAAGTGTATCGAACCGGGCCGAATCGAATCGATCGTTTCTCTATCGTTCATCAATGAAAATGTTCGTGCAGCTGCTGCTGCTGCTGCTGCGAAAAAATAAAGAATTTTCATTCCGTTTCCGTCTTTGTCTTTAGTGTTATCGTTTTCTCGTGATCCGCAGCAGCGGCGCGTAGCGCATCCGTGTCCATTGTCGACGGGTACGTAACCGCGTTGTCGTTATCGCGCGTAGACGTGTTCCGTTCGGTGGCGTATCCAGGGCGGGTTAGGGGGTTATACCCCCCCCCCCCCCCCGAAAACGTTTAGTGTATGTATATTGTTTATTGATTATAATAAAAACGCACAAAATTCAAAAAAAATTTAATGTTCCATTTTTTTATAACCCCCCCCCTCAAAAAAAAAAAAAATTCTGGACACGCCACTGGTTCCCGTTGTTCCGTGTTTTCCAGTTTTTACGTTTCGCCGGATTCGCGAGTCGTGCTCCCGGTGCCATAAATTGTCACGAAGTTCTCGCGTTACGCTTTCGCCGTGATGGCACCGAGACGTTTTACCGTCGACACGCTCGTGATGAATGCCGTCGGCCCCGTCGTTCTTCTCGTCTTGTGTCCGCCTTCGCGTCAACGCGTCCGTTTTCGTGGATCGGCGGCTATATCTCGTTGAAACCAAGTAATCGGTTTTCGTGTCCTTCTCGTCGGCCGTCCCCGCTAAGTGTCGTTCCCAGCGATCCCGTTGCTTTCACTCCTAAGCCACCAGGGCAGTCACTTGGCAACGGCCGTTGTGAACGACGTGGTTTTCATTCGTGTGTCATCGTCATCCGTCGCAGACCCGTCTCTCTTCTTTCGGCACTGTTGTTCAGCGGGGTCGCATGCACTCGGGGGCTGCGATAATTTTCGTATTAGTTGTTGTACTACTCACATCCCCTGTGCAGTCGCATGAAATCCGCCATTGTACACAGTCACGCTTGAGTACTGGTCGACCATATTTGTTTCATTGTCGTGCAGAGGCCGACGGGCCTAACCGCCGTAGGCACGTAATTATTATTATTATTATTCACAGAGCAACCGCCGTAGGCATATTATTATTAGGGCTTTGGATTTAATGCACTAGAGAACCTAAAATATGCAATATTAAATGCCAAAAATTATAGTATAAAATTCATTTAAAATGGTTTTTAATTTAGTTATTATATTTATATTGATATTAGGTACAGGATATTATACATTATTATACATTACCTATGCATAAATGTTTATTTAATAAAAAATAATAAAAATGTAGATAAAATTTGAATTTTCTGCATGTACTAAATGCTATTCACTTGAAACATTTTTTACAATTTTTGTAAGTATTTGTTCTGTTAAAATAATGAAATAAACTTAAATATATTTATTTTCGGGTGCCTTATTCATCTTTAGTCTTTAGAATTTGATTAAAAATACCAGAAAATGAAATAAAAAAGTAAAATATGACAAAAAAATCCACAAAAGTAATCTAAAAAGTCAAAAAATGCAAAATAAAATTTGCATAAATGGATTCGTATTTACATAATTCAAACTATATACTTACCTAACCAATCACCAAAAAAAAAAAAAAAAAGCACTTTCCTACAAATTTACGACCCTAATTATTATTATTATAATTCATAGAGTAGCCGCCGTAGGCATTTTATTATACTATTATATATCAGTTCAGCATTTATAATATTATTTTTTTATACATTTATATTGATTAGATTAATATAATTGTATTCATTTATTTGAGTAATTTATGCTACCCGGTGAATAAACCAGCCCTCTTATTAATGTATATATATATATATATATTTTATATATTTTATAAATATTCACATGTATAGAATAATTCGCAATTTATGACTTATGTTTATACAATTGAAAAATGAATTGTTTACGTCCGTATTGTCTTTATTGAACGCTTGATGAAGTGTGATGGGGTTTTTGAGGATCTTGTGGGCTTCCGTATATTTGGTGCAATTTAACATCATTGCAAGTTTCACATACTGGGATTGGTTCTTTTCTTATAAAGTAAGCATGTGTTAAATTTTAGTGGCCTATTCGACCATATATTGTACCTTGTTCATCGTCGTCGTCGTCTCTTCTTAACTTCCACGGCAGGTGGTATTGAAGGAAGCACTTAAATTATTTAAAAAACATAAGCATTGTACAGAGTGTAAAATAAATATATAACAAAATAATAAATGATAAGTAAATTAGTCAGAAATGCTTATTAGATGGTCTACAGATAAAATAAGATATCAGACACAAGGAAAATGAAATATTATTATAAAGTGCATACCATCTTTAGCAGATCTTTTAGCACCACCAGTAATATTCTGATTCATGATAATATAATTGTCCAAAGTTATACATTTGGAAGTGAATTTAAATTTAGCTTTACAAACAGGACACGATTTAAATTTCTGCATCCTTTTCATAATACACATTTCACAAAAGGTATGGTCGCAATTTAGAACCGTAGCCTGAAAAAATAAAATAAGTTATCATATCAAATAAAGAATAAAAATTAAAAATTGTTTACCTTGCACAATAATTTACTGCAAATTGAACATTGAAGTTCATTTTCGAACTGAGAATGGATTTGTTGTTTCAATAATTCAGGTGCACCCACATCATATAATTCATCTAAAATTTTTATTGAAATAAATTAATCATCAATTACATTTTAATCACAAGTATAAGATATAAGAAATATATAAAACAACATACTCTCTAATTTCGCCTTTAGTGTAGGAATTTCGTTGGTCATTTTTTGAATTACATCATGTCCCTTAGAGATAATGGTATACAAATTAAAACACAAATATAATCATAAAATTTTTTTCATAATATATGATGAAATATAAGACGAGGAATAAGAAAAATACGATTGAAAAAAAACATTGATTACTACTTACTTTTTTAGTTTGTATACTTTTAATTTTCATGCTGTCGTTCATCATATTTTGCAATTCAACTAATTCAGTTTTAACTTTATCACGTAATACTGTATGGTCAACTTTTAACTATAATCGAACAACAATAATAATGATTATTTTAACATTGTGATATTTAAAATATTATTAGTAATTTCTAACAAAATTATAGTTAATAAAGTTAAACTTACATTCAATATTACCTCATGAAGGTCTTTTATGTTCTTTTCAAACATTTCTTCTTCAGTATGAACTCCAATACCATGTTTATTGTATAATCTAAATATTAAACAGATATATTTATGAAGTTAATAGAAATAAAAAATATATTTAAAATTATTAAAAGAATAAAAGTAGCAATAAATTTAATTCTTGTTTTAGTGTTCAATTAACAGAACAACGATAATCTTTATTATTAAATGGTTCGAATGTACACACATATGTAGTAAATAGAAGACTAATATTATACTTGTTTAAAAAAATATTTCTGACCTAAAATAAAAATGTTAGCACTAAATACAAAAAAAAAAAAAAATCAATATTGTATTAAGAATAGTTTTAATTTTCTAATTTCCTGTTATTTAAACATAAATGTTCCTTTTAAATATTTTTTATTTAATTACATTACTATTCTAAATCGATTTCATTTACCTTGGTTTTTTGTTTTTTTTTGAGATATTGTTTAAGGTAAATTTGAATGTTCTAGTAATCTTGCTTTTATGACCGAAGCCAATAAGATCTCCATGTCGTAATTCTGTAATATTACTCGTACTTGAAAGTCTTTTACAATTTAGGAAAGTACCAGAGCATGACTGCTATTTTTTGATTTATATAAAAAAGGAAATAATTGTAAGGATTAAATTCAAAAACATAAATTACATAATTCTAATACAATATAGGTTTTTAATTCATATAAAACTAATTATTTTACTAAAAACAATTTTCAATAATATAAAAATTAAAAATCATGAAGTTAATGAAATGAAATTAAAATATAAACTAATTAATACAATATATTATTAAATGTTTAAACAATTTATTAAAAATTATTTTATATTTTTCATTGTATTATACAAGTCTTATATCCTAGACCAGGAATTCTCAAACTTTTATTAGCACTGTACCCCTTTTGACCAATAAACTTTTTATGTACCTCTTCTTAGTTAGTAAACTAAAATATATATAAAAAATTTAGACACACCCATAATGCAAAATAAAAAATAAAAAAACCACCACAATGGTTATTTTTACTAATTATATGTATAAATAATACGGCTTATGGTGGAGGGGGCATGGCCCATTCCTCTAATAGCTACGACACTGCATAGTTTAGTAAAATATGCTGCAACCGACACTATATACTTTTATAATGATAACTAACAAAAATATCTATTTCATTTTATTAAATTAGCTTATTAATTCACTTACTAAGTCGGATACGAAATAACAGTTATTTTCATATCTGATAGAACAGTGACGACGAGATATGAAGAACTCTTCCATGATGACCGAAGAGGTAAGAGCGCGTCCAATGATAAACTGTAGACATAAATATTAATGTCAGTTATTAGTCTTATAGGTATAGAATTAGAAGATTATATATTAGACAATATCAACTTATAGCCA